TAAATCAGTATAATTGCCTTTTTGCATCAAAAGGATTTTTTCTTGCGTATCTTGGTAATTTGCCATGCAACGTGCACACAGAATATTAGCATAACAAAAGTATGCCATTAGGTCTTGAATATTTCATAATTAAGAGACATAACAACTAAGCATTATTCATACAACATACATGCATAAACTGTGCATTATAAATTTGCATGTGTATATTAATCCCCATAGGCCAGCTTAAAAGGAATTCCGTGTACTTATTATCAGAAGATGGCAATTTTATCTATTATCTCAATACATTTAGAGCTAAGAAACACAATAAATACATTATTTGGAATCTTTGTGTAGGGGTAATACAATGCCACACTCCAAGCTACTAAGTCTAGTCCCTCACTTAGGTGAAAAAGTCAAGTGTCTTCTTCCGTCTTTTAAAAAAGCTTATGTTATAAAGTACCAAAACCAATGTTTTATTAATTTGAATTAACAGATGTGATTTCATAGAAAGAAAATTTTATTTTATTATTATTATTAATTATCTATTTGTAAGCGAGGATGAGATGTTTTAATTAATTACTAGACTAGAGGATCGATTATTTGAATTCTACAAGCTGAAGGTCAAGTGAGCTTTCTGAAAGTCTGTACATTGAGACGTGTGGTGCAACTTGTGTATGCATTTGACACATCAATGATTGATTAGTGTACTCAAATTGCAAGGATATTCAGCTAATTATCCCTATCCTGAAATACCTGCCAACAGTTCTTGTGCTCAGAAGCCACAGACATGTCTTTATATCCCGATGCTGCTTCTAAAACTCCCCAAGAAAGCAAAACCCTTTGCATCATCATATTGATTTGATTCTAGTACCTGCATCATGTAAGTTTTTTTTTTTTTTTTTTTTTTTTGTAATCCAATGTTTTGGGTACCTATACACTGATAGATGGAGATGGAAGAGATAAAAAAAATGTTTAGAACTTGAACTTAATTCTGGGAGAATATTAGACTGGGTTCCCATACCTAGATCGATCTAACAGGATCAGTCCATCTCCAAGGGGTTTCTTGCTAAATTGGTTTCAGCTCGAGTGGCTTAGATGTCTGGCATGGCTACTAAAATTGCTAAAAGATAATTAATTACCCCCTAGCAGCTTCAGTAGGTATGACAGACATCTAAGCTGGTTAAGTTAATTGCAATTTAACAAGAATCCCCCAGGAGAAAGATCGATCCAAAGTTAGTACGAAAGGATATGGGAATGGTCCCTTTGTATATGGGTTCATCCAAATACTGTAATTCATGTATGCGGATTTGGTATATATCCGATGTTTGTTTAACCCAAGCAACCTTTAATGATTATTCCATGAGGTGTTGTTAAGATTTCTTTCTGTATGTTTATACATAGATGTATAAAATTCCTTATATTGTGATTGCTTCACATTTTATTTTATTCATAAATATTCATCTGAAGATTGTTTTCTTCCTTTCAATAAGGCAAATTATAGTAAACCATGCCATAAGTTTTTTTTTGTTTGTTTGTTTTTTTGAGGTGTTCAATTTAGTCTACCCATTTCAATGCACATGCAGATGTCCATTTATGCAGTAGTTATTGTACTATTTGAACTTTAGATAACATTCACAGTCGTATATGTACATCCATACTGTTACATAATTACCTTTAAGGCCTTGAACTTAACAAGATTACATACCATCGCTTTTGTAATTGATTGTTGACATTCTCCTTAGTTTCAGCCAAATCACCTGAAGCTTTAATTATTGATGATAAGAGGGTTGGAATTATGTCCCCATTGTGTTAAACAAGTGACTTTACACATTTGATTCGTTAAGTTAAAAGGGAGTGGAAACTGACTTACGACTACTTAGTAAATCAATGTTCATGTGCAAAAATTTAAATGACATATCAAGGTTATGGTCCTTTTAACATCTTGCTGAACACTTTTTCAAAACCATTCTAAACAGGTACCGTATGTTGAAGGGGACACAGATTGACCACCTCAGATGCATTAAAGATTGTGAAACTCGGACCCCCCCCCACCTCAGTTCCGTCCAAGGGCCTGTTGATGTGGTGGTGCATCACCAGATTACCCAGATCCCACCGTTTATTAAATTATAATTAAAGCTAGATCATCTTTTATGACCATTATCTATAAGGTCTCTTTGTTGTTATGTTAATTTATTTAATTTGTTTTGTGTTGACTTCTTTTCAATGTTAGACTGGGTTCCCATACATACTAGTAGATGGATCCATCTGGATCGATCTAACTCTCTAAGTCTCACTAAATTATCATCTTACTTCTAACTGGCTTAAATGTCTGTCACGCCTACCAAATCAGCTAGGGGGTAAAGATAATTACACCCTAACAGCTTTGCTAGGCGTGACAGACATTTAAGCCGGAAAAGTTGACAGCAATTTAGTGAGACTCCCCAGGGAGATAGATCGATCCAAATATCTGTGGGAATGGTCGCTTAGTTAGAGCTGGCAGTGCTTTTGTAGATATAGACTTGGGCCAGTCACCAGGGTAGGGTTTGCTGGGTTAACAGCATCGGATATCTTGGGCCCCATTCAGAATAAGGGACTAACTAGTCCGAGGATTAAAATACGGCGTCCCACTGTTAAGCTTGCCGTCTAATCCACTAATAGACACTGAATACAGAATAGATCTATATCCCGTGGGGAAGTATTCAAGTGGGTTGGCCATATTTGACCCTTGGACTAGTTAGTCCCCTGTTCTGAATGGGGCCTCGGAGATATAGGTATCTGTAGCTAGAGACAGTGGGAGAGATGGTTTATAGAGCAACTAAACTGGATTGATTTAGACTTGTTAATTTAGGCCCCATTCCCATATACACCATCAGTCCACATCGATCGATCCAACTCTACAGGGAATCTTGCTGAATGCAATCAGCTTAACTGAATGACATGCTGTTTCCTGGCTCTGAGTTGAATACAAAAAAAAGCTGGTGATTGTCTGAGTTGGAAACCAGAGTTAAGCTGATAGCACTCAGTGAGAGTCCCTGCAGAGTTGGATCGATCTATATAGCGTGATGGTGTCTATGGGAATAGGGTTTTAGTCAGGGATACATATATATATGTACTATAGATTCTGTCTTGTGTAATGTATGTGTTTGTGCATGTGACGGTACTCACTTAGTCATGAGTACAGCATGTGATAGCACCTCTTAAAGTCCTCTCTCAAAGGACAGCACATGGCTTCCACAGCTGATTGATCTCCAGTCCTTATAAGATACTGTGATCAATATGCGGCAGTTGGAGTTCAACATGAGGTAATTGGAAATGTGCCCACCCATTCTGAGGTTAAGATAGCACAAAGGAGGCGGTCCAACTCATGAGTTCAACTCGATAAGAATTTTAATGGTTTATAATGTCTGATAAAAAAAAAAGAAAGAAAGAAAGCGAGAATAAAAAATTGAGCATAAGTGTAAGTTGTAAATATAGAGTAAATGGATTTTATGATGGAAGTTTCAATACAAAATCTCAGCTGTTTAAGTAACAGTGTATTGAAATTTCTTCGACTGCTTGGTAGAGCACGTTTCCGGCAGTTTTCAATGTCCCTTTGAGATGAAGTATTGAATAGATCAAATAACATGTGTTGCTCGTGCCTAAAAACACACGCACAATGCCCTTCGTTTGAGCATAGTGAATATTGGACCCCCAGATCCCCACTTAAAACAGCAAAATGCTAAAGCTGGAATATAATCTATATTTTTACCTTTGTTTATTCTCCTTTTAATGGCAAAGTGCACCTTTTATTTACCGTGTGACATGTTCCAACACAGTAACACTGGTGTTTTGGTTTGATGGTAGAAATAGAAGCAACAGTTAAATATTGGTTTCGACGACCTTGAAAAAGCAGTGCAAGCATAGTTAGAGCTTTGTCAGGGATTTATTATTGGAGTCATATAGTTGGATTATTTGCGGTCATCTTTGCTTCAAGTTCAGGGTCATGTCGTTTCCTTTGTATAGTGTGATTTAATAAATCTTAATCTGTCTTTTTAGTGGGATTTGGTAAAAGTTGTCTGTCTTTCCATGTATATTGTCACTATCACGAAAAATAAATTTGTACTTTCTTGAAAGCAATTCAACTGTCATATTATATTAAACCTTGCCTAAATACATAACAAGACAGTCACACATGTATCATCTTACCTTTGACATAGCATTGGTGGTCTCTTTTGTTATTTAGTACAAAGAGGATATAGGCAAGTGAAACAGAACGATTTCTTCAATATAGTAGTACATTCTGTGCCCAGTGTTTAATATTATTATTTAGTTTGGTTGAACAAAAATATTAGCATATAAAGTTATTAATTTTTTTTCATTTTTGTTTTGTCATTTTATTAGTATTTTAATGCCAACCATTAACTAGGCTCAGCGATTAGGAAATGAACCTTATTAGGGGTTTTTAAAAATCAATAAGGCAACTGTTCATATACAATTTACTTGGTATATTTGTATTTTGTATAGAACAAATTATGAACATTTTATATCAGACCATATGTTTCTAATTATATGTTTGATAACACATGTTGATGTTATTTTTATTTCTGTCTGCTGTCGGAACTGTGCAGAATTATAAATATATGTATAAAGATATTTAAAGCTCATTTTATGAATCTAGACCAAAAAAATTAAAGATCACAAACGTATAGAAAAAGTGTGGATAAGTGTGTTCCTTTTTAGTCCTGTTTAAATAGGGAGCATGTACATTCCAAATTACTGCCTTGTCTCAATTAGATCAAATAGATAGGCATTCGTAGCTAAACAACTTTTTTTGTTTGCGTGCATCTTTCATCCTTCTAAATTTAGTCCCTGTGCATCATCCACATATCTTGGTTATTTGCACAGGGGATGGATGCTTAGGATTCGGTATTTGTCTTAGACACTTGTGGAAAGTGGAAAGAATGCCATAGCTGGTAATTACCTTGTATATCAGTATATGGCACCCTTCTTCTCATCCAAAGCAGCTTTGCCAGCAGATAGGTTGATGGAGAAACATACCTTATAGATAGCCCAGGAGGGAATGTGTATATTTGCACAACTTGCAGACATTTTCACCTGCCTTGAACAATATTTCTCAGATGGCATTTATCATAATATCTGTGGCCGAAAAAAACTCACTCCTGGAATCTCATCCTGGGAATCCACAAACAGACTGATAGAGGATAGTGAAACCTCAGCATGAATGAGTCGGAAGGAAGTCTCTCAGCAGTCATGTCAACTGGATACTATTTCAATGGTGCTTTTAGTCATTTTTGATCATTAAAAAGAATATACGTGGAGGATAGAAAATTCCCTCGATCTCCTGAGAGTTTTGGGAGGAGAGAGCACGTGAGGTGGATTATCCTCGGGGGGAATTATTGGATGGAGCTAATTGTTTTGGGAATGTCTGTGCTGTTAGTGCTCATAGGGTATTTTCATCGAACATGCATCAGCAGCAGTGGCCGCGGCAGCTTTTTCCCTCTCTGATCTTTGCAGTTATCAGTGAGAGTCTGGCACTGCTGGCACTGGAGTACTGATCTCTGAAAACAGTGTGTTTGGACATTAATGGCTTCGTTGTATCGTACAAGCATGCGTTTTGATATCCAAAACAGCAGGACGTGAGGTTCTCTGGTTTGGTTTATTTGACCACATGAAAGACATGTCATCCTATGCCATTCAAACCAGGTATCATTTGTCTGTTAATGCTTTGGACAAGAGAATAATGTAAAGTCTGTATTTTCATTTTCTTCATGAGCAGTGAAGTAGCAGAAGCAATGAGCATGGAATACTTTGAATGGAACAGTTGAAAGGCTACTATTACTTGTAATGTAGTACGATTGTTGCCATGAGTCTACAACCAAACATTCTTGTATGTTTTTGTGGAATAATTTCTCTTTTCTCTGTTTTGCAGGCTATGCACACTCAAACTGACAAGACTCATGGTGCTGAAACCCCTAGAACAAGACCTTACGTCTATTATCATAGCTGTCAAGATGCAGATAGGTAGCCAGGTAAGAAGATACATGGATGCTTACTTAATTACACCTGTACGCCTGCTCAAACTACATGGAAATTCTACATCAAAGATTACCTGTTAACATAAGAGGTTGCTTTTTTTTTTTTTTTTTTTTTTTGGGGGGGGGGGGGGGGGGTAGAGGGGGGTGATTCTGAATATGCAGGTTGTATGCTCTTTTAATGGGTTATATTTCCAAGTGGATTTGTAAGATTATGAGGTGTTTCTTTTCAGATAACAGCTACATAAAAAAACAAGCTTTGAAGAATATTCCACTGTTTACTCATCATAATCAATAAAGAACTGCAGGAAAAAATTGCAAATGTACTGTTGATCCTCGAGCATTTTTTGGTTCTTTGGTACTAGATGATTAGCTTCCCCTCAGTGAGCATATATTGTGGAGGCTTTTAGTAAGATTATTATCTGTTGTCTTGATATAATGAGATTGATTGTTTGAGAACAGATAACAAGTCACTAGGAAGATGCACGATCTTATATTTCATGTGTGTACTAAAAATTGTACGGATACATAGACAGCCATATCTCCTAATCTATATCACTGCTGTTTGGTTGTCAGAACCCTACACTGAAATGACTCCAGATTCTGGGCCTTCCACCGTCAGTAAATTATTTCATATCAAAAAAATAGTGATTGTAATCAAAAGTAGGTTAACTTATTGATATTTATGACATGTATGGAATTGAAAAAAAAAAAAAAATAGCCAGCTTTTTAATTGGTGAATGACCCCAGGTTCAGCTGGGCTTGGTGTACTTTTCAAGGTATGTGAAGCAAAATAAAATGTGACTCTGGGAAAGTGACACATGGACTCTGCTACTTAAGTTGTGCCACACCGACATTAATGGTTATTTGATGTTGGTGCCATGTTCCTGTATTTGCCGCTGTTGCATTGTATTTCTCATTGCCACCCATAAAAACTTGCATATTTTTGAGACACTGTTTCTCAAATTATGGATTTTATCCCCAGAATGTTTTTTATTGCATCCTTCTCTGTAAACTGAAAGATTACCCCTCCCCCCCCCCCCACACACACACATGCACACACACACACACAGTCTTAAGGAAAGGTTAGTTTGTGCAACTAAAAATACAAGGAAGCATGATATTTTTAATGTAGATAAAGAAATTGAGTAAATATCCTGTTGTCACAGCCACTATCTTTATCACAATGAAAAACTAATATCTAATAATTACTAATAATCTGTACCATGAATTGTGTTTGTTTTAGGGTTCTAAGAGGACCCTGCGTACCACTGAGATTGTGTTGCAGCCCAATGGCACTGTAGACACAGAACTAGATATTACCTTCATTTTACAGGTAAGTTTTTAATTTTTTGTGGTTATTTTTATTTTATTTATTAATCAATTTATTTATTTGTAGGAGTAGTAATTTGAAAAAAAATTACATTAGTTGTGGAAAAAATTTTAATGCATATTATTTTAATGCAAGTTTAACTGAATTTTTAATATGCATTTTCTGTCTTATTGCTCAGAGTGCAACAAAACAAATATGTGTCTACTGTTTTATTAAAGTGTGTTACTTGAAATGTACTGTTTTATTAAAGTGTGTTACTTGAAATGTAATTTGAATATTGTCATGAGAAACAGTAAGCTGGCACTGCCATTAACACACTTGTCAATATATTTATTACGTGATACCTAGTTAAACATGATACCTAGTTCTTCCTTCCTGTTGTCATATATTTAATAGATTCTTTCAAGTAAAAGATATTATTCAGTCAATGCTTTTTTTCTGCGTTGGCCATTTTTGCCAGTTTTAGCAGTTTTAGGCATTATAAATAAAGGTTAAAGATTAAAAGAGAGAGAATTGATAATGTATATATACTGTTTGCTGCAAAATGAGCTCATTTTCAGATTTAAGTCACAGATCATTAGTAGGCCTAGTTTAAAGCATTTCCTGACCCTTTGTACACTTGTTGCTTGGAATTGCATCAATCTCCAGTTAACAGTAGGCTTATAAATGATTCTGTCCTTGGCACAGAAAGAAAAAACTTCCATCAAATCATTAGAGGAAATGAATTGCCTACAGATCATATCCACAGAGGGGACATTAGCTATCCTCCCTTAAGAACTCTTGGTCACTGTGCAGGTTTTACTGTATGATTAAAGAACTTAGAAATTAATAACCACGCACTGTCATGGGCATCTGCTGAATAACAATACTGGACATGTAGGTGCATGATAATTGCATATATTTTCAATTTCTTGATCTGCCTCGAATATTGAATCATCCATGTCTCTGGCATACATATTTAACACTTGTAGAGTAGTCGTGGAATATTGGGGAGCCAACATGATATTGATCCTCTGTGAAGTTCAAGAACCATGGGCCAGCAGAACAACACTCACTTCTTTTTTATCAGCCATATTTGTGATCAATCCACATTCAAGTTGGCACTAAGAGGATTATGTTCAAGTGGTGATCTGTGCAGTAGAAGGCACCCACCCTGAGTTTCAGAGAGTCATTGAAACTGACCTCTGTTATCACCCTGCCTCTGCAGTTTTTCGTAACCTCTGAAACTTGGGGTAGATGTATGATGTTTGAAATTCATTTCTGTTCCACAGACTGTGATTTTATTAGTGGTGGGATGTCAAAATTAAGGAGGAATTATACAGGGGACATATCGAAGAAGAGTTCAAAATCAAGAAAATGATAAATAGTATGTAAATGAATAAATAATGGATGAATGACTCATGGATGGGTGAATGAATGATGCAGGACTGCACTGGGAGAGAGCACACCATGACAAGCCCTTGGTCAAAGGATGATGATAACGAAAGAATGTAGATAAGAAAGTAGTAGATACATTACACAGTATCATACCCTGAACAAATTTTGAGTGGTGATGCAATGCTTTTCAACCCCGCTGAGAATCGTCACTATCACATCGCGTACTACTACTAGGCAAGAGCAGTGTCGCGTCTGATACTGTGTAATGCGATCTGACACACACCTTGAAAACGGGTAGTGTGGTCTGATCTACCAGTGAATTCAGGATCATTCGGTGCCGAGTCTGGTAGTTGGGTAGGCCTGAGATAGATGGATGGATGAGTGAAAGAAATCTGGAAGAGCTTTGAAAAGGGGATCTGGCTGTTCAGGACTGAGGTAATGGCAGTTCAATGGGAAAAAGTTACATCTCACCAAGAATCTCTACTTGATTGAAGTCATGTTGTGGTTTTATCTCATGGGACGTGAACTATGTAAAGCAGTCGAGATAACCAGAATGAACAAGTTCACATTTAATGTAACATTGATCCTCTTGTTAGTTTTAAGAGCATCTTTCAGACAAATCTTTTTTTTTTCTTTGGTCTTGGAAATCAATATGTGATACATCTCACCCACGTTTTTGCTCCTTTAAAAATGGTTGTTGAAATAACCTTGTTTTTTTAGTTGTTTGTTGAATTCTGCCACCAAAAATAGTAATAATGGGAGGGATGTCCCTCTTTCCTAGATAAACAAGAATGTGCGGCATATGCGGCTTGGCAATCTGTTCATCAGCAAATACTATCTAACCTATGCATATATGCATTCCATTACATACCTTACATATATGTCGTGTTTTGCCTATGTAGTTGAAAATACTGTGCAGATATATGTGAAATGATCTGCTCAGAGATTTGGAAGTGAAATAAACACATAAACGGTGTTGTTTATTTCACAAGAAAGAAAAAATAATCCTGTATGACAGGACTTTTAAATTACTCCTTTTTACTCCATTGATCAATAGTTCTTGGAGAGTTCTTCATTTTGCAGAGGTTGATGAAAGTAAACATTTATTTTAGAAATGTGTAATATCCGTGCTTTTTATGCTATGACAAGGATGGTTGAATAAGTTTTCATTGTGAAAAAGAAGAATGGTTGAATAAGTTTTCATTGTTAAAAAGAGACATTTTTTCCTTGCTATCCTATTAAATCATACTTTTCTGTATTTGCTGTTGGTCCGTGAGTGAAATACCACTTCAGGTAACACGTACTAAGTTCACTCAAGGTATTAAGAGTACAAGCTTAGGGAACGGCAGTCTTGTTTTGTTGGACAGCTGGCGTAGCACCTTGAAAGTTGTTTACTTTCACCTTGGCGTAAATCCCAAGGATCATGGTCATTCCACACCTGTGAATAGTTCTCCCAAAAATCTCAACCACTTGGCATTTTAAGATACATGAATGATATTTGTCAGGATGCTATATCATGCACTAATGGGATGCGCAACAGGGCTGGCAGCATCTTTAAAGAACGATGTGCAAAGTTTTATATTGTATATTGTGTACCGCTGATGTAGTTACATAACATGCACATAGCTAGCTAGGTAGAGCTTTTCTCCAATTATGAACCCATATGAGCTGATATAAATCTCTCTGCATGTGTGTGTGTGTGTGTGTACGTGCCCACCTGAAAGCACATGCATGCATGTGTGGTCAGATTGCGTTATCAAGGATCCAAGATTTCTTGGATCCTACAGTACTTACATGTAGAACAATGTTGGGAGGGAGTGGCAATCATTTTTCTCTTATTATCTTGGGAAGTATATTACATTTGCTAAAATAAGCAGCGTACACAGAGTGCTGTATATAGGGTTTATAATACTCTTGCTTACATTTTATCACATATGCTGCACTGTGGTAGGAAGTAAAGAATTTTAGTGATCTATTTTCATGACTTCTATTAGAAAGGTATATTTGTGTGGATTTTTGCCTCTACATTGGCTTATTTCTTCGAGACAGAGAGTTGATTGGTTTATCAGTAATGATATTTAAATGGATAGAACCACATGGTTTTAAATCATGTGGTTCTATCCATTTAAATATCATTACTGGTAAACCAAACTTTTTATCTGATTTTATTCATACTTCATCTTACCATTTAAGTTTAAGTTTGCCCTGTAACTTTTTTATTTGAACTAATATTCTGAATCTACTTATAGCAGTCACTTCTCCATTTAAGTATTATTGATATATTGCTTTCATGATATAGCAACTCTTATGACCTAAGTATGCTTTGTCTTTGATATGGGAGAAATGTCTGACAGGTTTTTCACTGATAAGCCTGTTCAAATAATTTAAACTCAATTTATCACTTCTTTCTTCGTGGGGCATTGTTTGTTATGTGTCAGTTCAGTTTGCCTTGTTTGTAGAATGCACACACAACTTGCTGTGCTTGTGCCAATAAATATGCTTTCTGACTGTCAGATATGAGAGAAAAATCCAGTCCTTGTCGTATTGTCATTGATGTCTATCTCTGTGTGTCGGTTTTGCTACCACAATGGCGTGATATTGAATTCAAAATGGACAAGAAAAGCATGGGAGAATGCAGGGGGATAGCAAATTGATTTTTCAAAAAAAAAAAAAAAAAAAAAAAAAAAAATTTTGCTTTTTTATGTGCAAAAAAAAAAAAAAAAAATTGACCTGGTTTTTTCTTATGGGATAGCCCCCTGAGATAATGTGTAAGTTGCGTTAGTTCAACCCAGCTTTTATGGAAAAGCACTGTTGTTCCCATCTAGATGCAGCTTTAAAAGCATAAACCTAACAGCTATGACATTGACATTCACCAAGTATGCTTATATGAATTGATGAATATTAATGCATTTTTTGAAAAGTCTACCTCACAAAGCTTTTTGTGCTTTTCACTGGCTAATTTGGTGATGATTAAATCACAGGAATTATCTATACCACACTTAATGGCTCTTCATAAAAGCACTTTTTTTTAGCTTGAGATAAACATCCTCACCAGAGGTTTATAGTGCCATTTGGGCATTGAAGGGCTGCTTGAAAAAGCTACACGATGGAACATTAATGTTTGTAGTGTGCTGTTGTATGGGGTGTATGTTTAAAAGCATAGCTCTGCTTGTTTATATGTTGTATTGGTTGTGCAAGTAGAAAGGTGGTGCACTTCATTTCTTTCCACAGGTACACTGGTGAGGCATGCCAGTATATTGATGGCCTTAACCAATATAACCTGAAGTGCAGTGAAGTGTAAGATTTGGGAACTTAAGTATAGTTTTTGCAAAACCACAGAATCCAGTAGTTACAATATTTTATTTACCATGTAAGTCTTATAAAATTTGGATAAAAACAAGTTACGAAACAATTACGAAATATGAAGATGGATGTATATAAGCTTAATAAATGTTTGAAATGTCCTTTGTATTCTAAATGATTTAGGTGCTGGGTTTAAGGTTATATTTCCTGAAATATATCATTGTATGACCTTTTATACATTATACCATATATTTATTAGATTGACATATTCCAAGGGCCTGTGCTGATCAACATATCAATAACAGGTTTAGCTGTCATTTTGCCAAGGTGCAATTTTTGCCTGTTGAAGTACTTTGAATCTATTTTTTAACTCTACTCTGTTTTTTATCTCTAGTCCTAATTTTGTAACCACTGCAGATAAAATTACCAAACTTAATGTTATATATTTGACAAAGGTATGAAGAACAATCCAGTGCCACACATTTTTATTACATCTTTAAACTGATCTTGTTTATGAAGATCCATTAACAATTGCTGTAATTTGAGGTTATTAGTGGTATAATCTTAACAGTAATTTAAACAAAACTGGTAAATTCCATATAGTATTTATGCATAGCTCTATTTGCCATTAGAATTGTTCTGATACAAGCCAAGATGGTCAAGAACAAAAAATAACCAAAACCAGCACTTTCACTTTCATCAGCAAAATGACCATACTTATTCTGAAGTCAAATAATCTCCATGAACATGATATGGTTATATTATAACAACCAGTGAGTTATAAATATATAAAGTCATTTTGGCATGATTGTGGCTAATAGGGTATATATCCAGTATTTTGTGGAAACAATCTTAGGATGCAAATGAAATGTGGTTTAAGCATAGTTTATACAAAATCGTCGCATAAGTACATCACCTTATTTCCTTGTGCCATAAGATGCATACAATATTGACAATATCAGAATTAAGTGGATGATACTAGTTGAAGAAAAGAAAAAATGTTTTCTTCATTATTTTCTTCATAGAATATTTATAGAAGGGTCTCTATAATAAAATAGCTTCTAATCTGTTGTAGTGTTTGTAGTTTTTCCTGTGGTCTAGTCTTTCTTTCTTGATTGTCATTGTGGGTTACCTGTGAATAATGGCTTCATTTGAATTCAGATAAAATTGTTATGCTGCTGTATTTTACTATTGTTTTTTTAATTTTTTTAGATGTATTTCTTTGTGTTGAATCATGGAATGATAAAAAGCAAAGCATTTTGTTTATAGGTATTGTCATGTAATGTAGGTATGATTGAGGCATTTTTCAGGACTAAATATGCCTTTGATAGAAATATGTTGAGCAAGACTGAAACAGAAAATTGATAACATATTTTTTAGGAAAAATCTTTTAGTGAATTCATGTTCACACATATCTCTTTTGATTGAAGCTGCTTTATGTTTATGATATCAGAATGCAGCTTAACCTTACATATTGCCTTGTTATTTATGTATCACGGAATATAGCGTTTTTCAAAGAAAATCCTTCAAATAATGAATCAGATACAAATAGTGGAAATACGCTTGATTAGTCAGAGGAGTGTCTCTCAAGGCAGCACGCTATTTTTCTATTTTTGATATACACAAGTATATGTATCATTATTATTATGATTGCCACCGATTAAGTATGGATTTAGCTTTACCTGTAAACATCAAAACATTTCCTTGATGCAAATGCACGTCTATTAGTATTTATGGGCATTAAGTGTGATATAATGGACTGCATTGTAGTGGCTTGTGTTACACTGATTTAATCAACTAGAAGTTAAGTCTAAACCATGTAATGTCAGTGTCTAGATGTGGTAATGACTGATCATGCCTTGCATACAAATTTCTATTTTCAGCGCTCACAACAGATTAGAACACCTCATTACATGCTGTTTTGTTGTAGGATAGATTAAGTACCAGTGGCACCTGTTATGATGGTGAAATAAAAAACGGTGAATATGGAACAATTCATGATTGTTTCTACCCTGCTCAAGGGACCCGCTGAGCCAACTTAAACTGCCTGCAGAGAAATGTCACAACAATTTTTTTTTTATTTTATTTTTTTTTATTTTTTTATTTTTTTTTAGATTTTTTAGATTTTGCTTGCAGACATGACAGAAAATATTACTTTGAACACATAAAACAAATAGATATTTTCCTTTTTTACAGTATCCCCACTTTTTTAAACGAGATGGCAATAAACTTCAAATCATGCTGCAGCGGAGGAAAAAGTATAAGAACCGCACAATTCTTGGCTATAAAACACTTGCTGTGGGCACTGTGAACATGGCACAGGTAGGTCAACAACGCAGGATATCCACTGCTTTTAAAAAAACTTAATTTTTACCCTAGAGCAGTACATTCTATGGATGACCAACACACCTGAATAATTGACACTGTAATTTGATCAAATGCACACCTTTAAGGTCTGGAAGTGAGTATAATTTGATTGCTGGCAGTTGTTGTTTCTTAGATGCTTGACTGCTAAAAAAATCTTTTCTCAGACCTAAGATTTTAAGTATAAAGAACAGTAGCATATTTTTTCTCAGAATGTGGAACTACAAAGAGCAGAGCAGGGTTCAGAACTATACTAAGTTAAAGCAAAATATTATAACTGGGTGTTATCAGCCTGGTGGTGTTGTGAGTGTCTGGTCACACATTGCCATAGTGGCACCAGGGCTCCGTATCTCGAAAGTTTCCCTATGTTGTGCACGCGTGTTAGTGTCTCGATTCCATAACCGATTCTATTTCGAGATATGGGGCCATAGAATCGGTTATGGAATGGAGACACAAACACACGTGCGCAACATAGCGAACCTTTCGAGATACGGAGCCCAGAGGGTCATACCACATTAAGACACTTTAAGGCCACATTCACAACCAAAGTCAGGCCCGTAGCCAGCAATTTCAAAAGGGGGGTTCTTTTTCTGAAAAAGTGGACCTTTTTCCATAAAAACTTCATGTACCTAGGTCAAATTTTACCCAGAGTGGACCTTTTCCCAGCAAAAAGGGTGGTTCTTTCGAACCCCCCAAACCCCCCCCTGGTTACGGGCCTGAAAGTTGATCCTTGGACTAAGGTCACATTCAGAATAGATGATCCGCGGACTAACTGATCCACAGACTTAATATGGCTGACAATGCCGACTTATCTCCTGATGGTCTACCCTGTTGGTCCATGGATCAATTGGTTGTAAATGTGGCCTAAGAGGTGACTGTGAACATGCAGCACACATGAGCATTCTGTTATTTGAAGTGTTCATTTTGTTTAATTTGTATAGATATGAACATACCTGATCTGAACCCTGAATTTACTTTCATGAACATTCTATAATTACTTGTAATTTTCATTCTTCTCACTTTTATTCCTCATTCTTACCTATCATCATTTTAGACACAAAAATGGCAGTTACTGACACAAAGCCAAATGGCTTTTCAAAACACATGAATCGACATTTTGGAGGATTCCTAAAAAAATAGTTTGATAAAAATCATAAATTAACATTGTTGGGATTGACTAATTGCCATAATCATATAAGTAATGAACAATGTGCGTGCTGTGACATTTCAGGTCCTCCAGCGAGCAGCTGACAAAGAGCTAGTCTTATACCCAGATATTAAAGATGCCCAGAGTGACCTCAGTCGTATTGCACAGGTCACCATTCTGGCCTTGTCTAGTCAACCAGTTGATAAAGAAGAAAATGGGAGAAGAAAGCATCAAGACTCAGTGGAAGCAGGTGATTAGTTCCCATACAAAAGAATGAGGCAATTTTCTGGAATGGATCATTTTTTAGTTCTGGTTGGAAAAGTTCATGGCGGGAGTGAGTCATGTGAAAGCTGAGTGGGTGATGGGAGGTGCATCATCAGTAGTGCAGAGATTTTTTTAAAAAATCAATATTGATATTAAATGATGATGGGCTGAAGAAAAAGACTGACAGTAATTGAAATATAAAAGCTGCTTAAGTGATAATCTGAATTACATATTTCATCGATTTTCGAGTCTTTTGTTGGGTTTTCTTACCAACCTTAGCCTTATCAAATTGGAGAGTTTCTAGGTCTCTAAATAAGGTTATTATCTTTCATTAAGGACTCGTGATTTTACAGGGAGGAAGGGATTATATTGTCTTTTTCATCATTAATTTTTAAGTCTGTCAAAGACTTTTCTATACGACCAGTCTTGGCAGAGAAGAATCACTCTTTTTCTGCGGTCTGGATGTAATTGCAGAGATTTTCTCAAGGATGACATATTCTATCTTTGCTTTTTAGCAGGATCTGGGGAGACAGATGATGATGACCAGGAAGACTCTTCCAATGAAGAAGGCAGTGACAGTGAAACTTGTGAAATAGAAGGCAATTCACGGCCCAGGAAAGGCAGAAGTAGGCGGGGGCATCCCAGGATGGCAAGGGTAGGCATTTTGATGATAATAATAATAATAATAATAATAATAATAATAATAATAATAATAATAATAATAATAATAATAATAATAAATGATTTTTAGCAGTTGGATTATACAGTGAAATTATCAAAAGAAACTACTAAGACAAATAAAACAGGAAAAACATCAAAAAGTTAGATGTAATTAAGTGAAATATCATGCAACATAATGATAGAATTTATTTCTTGTGCAGTTGTTTTATACAAAAGATATTTTATACAAAAGATTGTTAGAACAATTATGATAGTGAGAAATATGTACAGAAAGTTTAGTTTTGTAACCATATGATATATCTTTTCTGTTTTTCAGCAAAGAAATCTCAAACAGAAGTTCTTTGATCTACTGAGAAAATTGAAAGTTTCAGAAGAGGTATGTTATTTAACCCATTCCAGAACTCTGTTTTCAGTAGTTTTACCTTCAGTCAGAGGCACTTATATTACATAGTTAGAACTCATTGAATCCTGCAATCAGGAGACATTTTCAGAACTTTGAGCTCAATCAGAACAGGGGACTAACAGATCCACGGATCATATATGGCCAACTCACATGAATGCTTGTTGGGTAATCCCCGCAAGAAATCTATTCATTGTCTAAGGGCGTATTCCCATAGTTTTAGATCGATCTATCCCCGTGGGGAGTCTCACTAGATTACTGTCAGATGATCCATCTTAAATGTCCGTCCCGCCTACTACAAGCTGTAAGGGGGTAATTAACTTTCGTGCCCACTTGACTGACAGCTATTTAGCGTGAACCCACAGGGAGTTAGGTCGATCTAGTTTGGATCCAAGCTTTTTAGTGGGTCACCATATTTGATCTGCGTATCTGTTAGTCCACTGTTCTGTATGGGCTCTTTGTCAACAGTGCTTTCTGGCCTTTCAGGTATTGGACTCAGAGCAGGACCCAGAGTTAGGGGATCAGCTGCACAGCCAACAGGAAATAGAAGAACTGTTCGATGAACTCGAAGATCTCAGCGACAGCGGACCCGAGATGGACAATCTTAGTGTGTTATCTACACCAAAGCCAAGTTTAAGGTAAAGGAACCGTATTTTATCTATGGTGAAAGTAGAGTTAAAGGTGAAATGTTTTGTATTATGTTGGCACTGGAACTGTGTTAAAGGTGGAATGGCAATGTGCTATCTGTACTGAAACCAATTTCATGGTGAAATAACAGTGTCTTGGGGTGTGTTCACAATGAAGCTAGTTTGAACTAACTATGCAGGGACTCTCGCTGAATGCAATCAGATTAACAAGCCTCCTCATTGGCATTGAGTATAATACGGAGAAGCTGGTGATTATACGAGTTGTTGGAAACAAGAGGAGGTGTGTTAAGTTGATTTCATTCAGCAAGAGTCACCGTATGATAGTATGATAGTTTCAATGTAAACATACCTTATTATACTCAACGAGTATTATAGAGGCTCATGGAAAATGTTATCAGTCATGTTATTTGGTCCCAGGACAGGGATCCAATTTTGGAGCAATTTTTAGTGTGTATTTCAGTTAGTAACATAATTGGTATCAATATGGATATTATTCATGTATATTAAAACTTCCAAAGACACCTGCCATTGCTTTGCTTCTCATAATTTTTATAATTCATATAATATCAATACAAGTCTATAAAATAGAATGTACTAGTTTGAACTTTACAAAAACTACACTATTTTTGCCATTCATCTAATAGTTAATTGTATCTTATTGCATTGCAGGCCATTTTTCACAAACAGAGCACAATCAGTTGAGGCCTTAGAACCAACAAAGGTAAGTGGTATGGCATTATGTGGTTAAGTAGTCATATTAATTGCAGAATCCTCCTCACAAATTCATGATTTGACATAGGTTTTATTGCATGTTGATAGTCTCCCACAGTTTCAAGAAGATTTCATTCCGTTTTACTTTGTTCCTTATTTACCTACCAGATATGAAACCATTTTTCTTTGGTTACACACACACACAAAAAAAAAAAAATTAGTCCATAGTATTATTTGATTATTATTCTTTTGGCCTGCATGAATGTGACTTTCTGGATTATTTGGCTTGCTTTTTGTCTCCTCAGGAGCCTGCTGCGACGTATCATAGTGATGATAGCTCCAAAAAGAATGATTCTGATGGGCATGGGGTAAGGCACATCTTCCGTGGCACACTTTGCCTTGCTTGCTTGGTTTTGGGTATTTCTGGGTTATTGCCCCCCCCTCCTCTAGATTGTTCTGTGTTTGCTTTTCAGTTGATTTGGATTTATTCTAATTAAGTCACTGTTTTGCAGATTGGATTTTTTTGTTTTCTTTTGATGTACAGACTCCTTGTTGCCTGAGCGTCAACCATTTTATACTCTGTCTTTTTGATTCAAACGAGTGATGGGTCTCCGTTTCTCAGTCTAATTAGTTTGGGCAAATTGCCTGTTATCATGAATAAGTGTTAATGGCTAAACAGTTGCCTATAACAGATGCTAGGAAGGACCTGTTTACCTTCTATTCAGGACTGTTTCCTGTGATAACAGTTGATTGGAAAATCCACTTGACTTAATTTCCGTTGTTGTTGAGAAGGAATGCATTGTAACCTCGTTAGCATGGCTGTACAAACTGAATCTCATGATAACTGACTTTCAGATCAAAGAATTAAATGTCAAAGACTTTCTTCACTCCGTCCTAAAATATCATTCTGTACCAAGTTCTGAAATTTGAAATTGCAAGCTGTCGTAGATTAAGGCTTGAATTAATGATATTAAGTAATCAAATTGATTGGCAATCTTAGCAAAAATACTTTCTGGCTTTTTGTTGAAGTATTTGTTGGTGAATTTTTTGTTCACGTATACAAAACTATACACATATCAGCTTAGCTGACATGTATTTTACATTTATTGGCTCATTTATATGACCAACTGAAGGAAAAGTTATTACAATACAAAATATGCATTATGTGTTTATTTAAAGTTCTCAGTTTGTGTGAGGCTTTTTCTTACTTTTTAGAGCATCACTTCTCAAGGATCAACTCAGATTTTCATTTTCTTTGGCAACATGCAATGGATTATTGTTACACATAGTTATGTGTAGATGTAAATGTTTTTTAAATTTATTTACAAATTACTGGAGAGAAATTTAAACTTCAAATCTAATTAGAGGACTTGCTGCAAGTTGTGGCTGACAATTTTTGTGGTTCATCTTAGCATGGGTGCAGAGGTCCTCAGCAGTTGTATTTTTTATGCTACTTTCAGAATTAGTGGATTTACCATATAAATCAGTAAATTCTGGACACATGCTAATTTGTAGTTTTATAAACTACAGAATTTTCAGAATTAGTGGATTTGCCATATAAATCAAAGAATTCTGGATACATGCTAATTTGTAGTCAGACAATGTTACTTCAGAATAATATTCTCATTGACATCATGTTCCTTTTTGTCTAAATTTGATTACAATTACTTGTGGTAGATTGTAAGTTGCCTAATTCTGGTTTGAATTAATTACATTTTCATGCACTTTCAGTTTTGGAATTTTACAATGTTTTTACACTGTTGATATGCCAGGCCTGAGAAGTCAACTTTCATCGTTTTTTTCCCTTTTGATTGGTGTGGCACTGTTCATTTCCCCACTTCTTAATTGAGCCAAATAAAAGGGAAATCTTTCAAGAGATTGTTCAGTGGTTCTCATGCCTGGTATATTAAGATAGAGAACTGTTTGTGTGTGGTTGCTGAGCACCACTAACTTATTCCACTGTTCTTTTCTGTTCTTTAATTTGTCTAGCAGCAAACACATTCCTTCTCTATAAGAAAGAATAGTAGTTCGTCTAAATATAAACACTCAGCAGTAAGTAACAGCAATGAAATATGATTCTTGTCTTATACTTTTGTAGATATGATTTTTTTTT